CATCCCTCTAGTGCTCTGTTTCGGCACCTTGCGAAGCCAAATCGAACAAAATGTTTTAGTGGTGCAACCTGCCGCCACCCTTCATCCTCCTGGCTGGAGTGCAAGTCCCTGGCGACAGGGCTGGAGGATCTTCCCTCCCGTGCTCCGGCAGCACAGAGAGCTGTGGCACTCTTCAGAGGTGCCACACGCTTCCCTGCTCAGCTCCTCCACATGCCCAGGACGGAAAAGGGAAAGGAGAGAGTGCCTGGCCCCAACCACTGTCCCTCGAGCAAACGGCAACAAATTTCAGTCTCATTTATGCTGCTACAAAGCTCTGAGTCAGTTTTGGCTCTAACCTAAAATATAGCAACCTTAAGTATCATCTTGATTTTATCTCTCTGCAAAGGCCTGTATTAATTTTCAGGATGTTCCAGCACTACAGTGGTAGGTTTTTTGTGATGTAGTTTTGGTGTTCACAAAGTCAGGACCTGGCTTAGCAAATGAAAATAACCCCCTGACCTATGGGTTTACCTGCACATACACAAGAAAACACAATAATGCAGGTTGCGTAGGGATCACGTACTCCCACAGGCGTTTCCCTGCCTGGGGACCCACAGCTAGCATGGCATCACGTGACGCTAACAGGGAAGCTGCAGCTTTCTTAGCTACTCCATTAAGCCTTTCTAGGTAAGGTTAAACACAAACAAATGTCTGCAAGATTGTAGCCTTATTTACTACTCTACAAATGATCACCCATTACATAATAAAGTCTTCATCTTAAAAATAGGTATTTGATTTTTCTCATATACGGTGGGAAAAAGGTTGATAGAAATAAAGAAGTTATAAATCCTCAGCATACAGTCAAGAAACACATCATTACAATCTCAGTTTCATGAGCCACAGGAGAAAATATATATGAGAAAATGTAATATTAACTCAAAACAGCAATACTTCATAATGACTACAACCCAAACTAACAGCAAAGTTCGTCTATAATTTAATGACAAAGTTAGCAATTCTTTTTTCATGGCGCTAGATTAGCATAACTGAACAGATTTATGTACGTTGCCTGGAGCCAACACAGAAACATTTGGAAGATATTCTGTCAAAATGAAGAAAACAATCAGAATGTTTCCCTGTGAACCTTTAGTAATAGCTACAAATATTTGTGTTAACATGTTATTTATTCAGTAGTTTTCCTGCTAGTAACCAAACATCACCGCAGCCCTCAGGAGACTGCTGCGAGGAAGGGCTAAGGAGTGGGCAGGGTCTCCAGTAGGTCGCTGTTTGAAGCGGGCATCCAGCTCTGGCCCAGGTGTGCTCTGCCCTAGAACAAGTGTCTCTGCAGCTCCAGGCTGCTCTTCTAAAGCGTCAACACAGATACTACACCGTTTCCATCGCATTTCGTCGCCTGCTGGACAAAATCTGAGTTTAATAACCCACTCCTTACAGCAAGGACCTTATGCAGAGTCTGTGTCTCCCCACCCATGCCACCACCTATATGATGTACTCTACAGTTTGTAGACGCTTGCACTCACTTGCATACAGGTACTTAGAAGACGAAATGCTACTGATTTCTATAGGACTTAGAGACTCCTAAACGACTTTGTAAAATCAGGTCTCGGTCACCTTTTCCTCTCGGGAGTCTCATTAAACCCCATGCCCAAATCTTGTTTTAGAAGCTGTGGAAACCTGCGACTTTGTCATCTATAATGGAATTTCCAGCATTGGAAAAAAAAAAAATACCACAGCTTCAGCAGTCCTTTCCAGTTTATACATCCTGCTTCATACATTAGCTGTCAAGCCTGCAATATCACAGCAGTCCCTTCTCCTACAGGTCAGGAAGCAAATGCCATTGGCTTTCACAACAGAAGCATCTCCAGAAAAGACACCATAAATGACCCAAAATGAAAGCAACAAGCTAGCAGAAATGTCTCCTGGCACACAGGTGCCACCCCTTAGACCAGGCAGAAAGAATATGCTGGACTTTGGCAACTTAGATATCTTATTAAGCTAGTAAAGTAGTATTTAATGCTCCTTACACTTGTGAGCCTTTCTAAAATACTTCTGTTCTTCGCAACTGCTAGGATCTGTCTCTTTTCATTGATCCTGAAACAGTGTTTAGCTTTGACTTAAGACTCTGTGGCTTCGTATGCAGTTCAGGTTGTTTGTCCTCCTATTTCATTATCTGCTCTTCAGTCATTAGGGTCACTGGTGAACAGCGGCAGTTTGAAGCTCTGACTGCTGGCATTGGCTGACTGCAGGTATTTACCAGACTTCCTGTAAACGAGCTCAAATTCTTGCTCTGGGTCCAGCACCAGGAAGCTTTCAAAAAAAAAAAAAGGATACAGATAGGTATGGATAACAGGGGGAATAAGGCAGCTATAAGGCTTGCATGGCCAGGTGCAGGCCCACGTTACAGACCTACTTGTAACTGCAGAGCTGTGGACCTGCTGTTGCACATCGCCTGATCTGCCCTGCCAGGAGGCTCCGAGTTGCCACTAGGAGAGACTGAAGGCATAGATAAAGTCACCGGTAACAAATATGCTTCACTCCTCTGATGCTGAAAAAAGACGCCTATAAAAGGAGTGAGTTCCTCTCAGCTCCACTGCAACCACTGATTCCCATACCCAGCTACCCTCTTGTGCTGTGATTGCTTCTATTCCTGGTCACACGAGGGTAATATTTACAAATGCACCATAGTCCCTTTCTCAAAAATGAATTAAGGCTACGAAACACTCACCAAAGGTGCAAGGGACAAGAGCAGAGCGACAAATCAAAGATGCATGAAGCTGCCAGGGCGGTGGCAGGCAGCAAGGCACTCCTGGCTTCTCTGAAATCAGACCCTGAGAGCACAGCTGTGCGGGATCGGACACCTGGCACCTTTCGCTTTGCTCCCTTTCGCCTGAATTTTTGTATGATGGAAGGGCAGAAATGGGACGTGGCCCCATCGGTCAGGCAGTCAGTCACACGGTGCTCTTCACAAGGGACGGGCTTGGTCTCATTTCCTGTGCCAGGATAATGCCCGTGCCCATGTTGTTAGGATCAGCACAAGTGGGAAAGCCATTGCCTAGCACAAAGCCAGGTGGTCCTTGGTCTGTAGGAAAACGCTTTCAAAGCCCATTTTGGGGGGAAAAAAACCAAAAACCAACACATCCCCCCCATCAGCATTATGTACAAGCAGAACAACAGGTACAGAGGGAGCACACTACAACTGAAGTGGTCCTGGATCAGGCCAGTGGGTCTTACAGCAGGCTAAAACCTTTTGCCTGTGTTCATCAGTGTTTACTAAATTCTTATTCCCTGACACCAATAAGAGACTTCATCACAAGCAGACTGCACAGAGACTACGACTTTTAATGACCAATAAATTATCTACTGCTTTGGAAAAGCCAGTTATCGTATTTAATTTGACAGCCCCATGCAGGGTGAATTCCATAGACACAAAACAAATGTCAGGCCTCGAGACTAACACACATTTCCCCAGATGCAAAATAGACACTCACCAGTTGCTCTCTTAGGAGGATGGAAAAAGCTAATCCCTCTAAATTATGTAAACCAAACAAAGAGGGTAAGCTTAAAGCCTCAGCATTTATTTTTAACAAGTAAAGCATAAACCACACTACTGCTTTCACATCTGCCTTCTAATTCTTTTGCCTTTGAATGATATGCAGTACAACTATTTTAAGATCTGCTCCTGAGTGCCTGCAGCTGGCACAGCACGCAGGGAATAGTAGGTTCTCATTTCTCCTCAGGACTGACTCCTAAATGGCCTGGCCTCCTAAACACGTATCGTGTTCTTGTGGAGAGACTTGGATCGTGGAAGATCTTTTCCAATCCAAGTTCTATTTAACCTTGCATCAAGAAGGACATTGAGCCATTTCTTTTACTCGCATTGCATCTCTGGGCTGGACCAGAAAAACAGGAGGAACATCCACCGAGCTTGCAGTACTTTTGAGCTCTGTTTCACATCTGTTACTAATGTCTCTTTACATTACCGGATAGTTTAATAAACAAGGAAGTAAGTGTTGTCCAGTGAAGGTGGTCCTACCATTTCAGAGTTTTATTTCTGGCTGATGCTAGCCTCTTGCAGAGCCTGAAGCAATCACATGGCTCATTTTCCCCATTTGCAAAATGAAATAACACCACCTTCCTTTGCTGTAACTCACTTTGGGAAACACGAAGAGCACCCTGTAAAAGGTCCGTGCTACTAGGTAACGGCCTGATGAAACAGCAACATTACTGTTGCTGTCCTGGTAGCCTTGTAAGGAGAAGGAGAGACCCTCTGACACTGAGTTACACAGCAGGTGGGGTGGTACTGGTGAGCAGCACTAAGTACGAGGGAAGGGAAGAGAGTACCTGAGAAGCTGAGTTAAACCGTGGAGCAGCCGCCAGCCGGGCCTGCTAGCAAGACGCAGCGGTTCGTGCTGCCGGTACGCAGTCAGAAATGACGAACGGGAGCGACAGGCATTGTCCCGTGTAATTACAGGCTGCATTTAAGCCAAACACGCCGAATTACAGGATGTAGTGTATTCTTTCCAGAGACTGGGCACGGTACCGGGGGATGCTTCCCACCGGGAGGGAGCTGCCGCCCCTCGCGCAACCTCCGCGCTGCACCGCGGAGGAGGGTTTTGGGGGGGAGGAGAGGGGTGAGGGAGAATCCCTGCCCCCGCTCCCT